CTAATACTATAATACATAACATATTAAAATTTCAGATTTGTTAAAATACATTTGAAATTTGATTTTTTCTCAAAAGTGTCGGCCATAACTTTTGAATCGTCATAATTGTCTGCCATTATTTTTTTTAATAATAATAATATAGTAAATAAAATATCCAAATATCAGCCTTAAAAAAATGCTTCTAAAGTTGGTCTAAATTTTGTATCTTTGCTACCTGAGTGACGCCATATGAATCGCCACTGAGTTTACTTAGTCTCCTTCTAATGTATGGTAAGCATGAGGGATTGACTGGACGAAATTTGAACTTCGATAAAATATGTTTTGCCAACTTTCCATGGGCTCTTAAGCTGTGGCGTTGGCAATGGTAATCACTACGTGACCACTGGCGTGTTCCGCTTGATAGATAGACAATCTTGGGAACTTTAGTAATAATTAATTACAACTCTAAGTTTATACGAATAATAAATGCATAGTATTTATTTATACAGACGCAATAACAAAAGTGCAATAATAATTATGAATTATCACAACTCGAGTATACGTATAGATTAGAACACGTGGTATCATATAAAGGATTCATAACGTACAGTACGTCTACAAGATTCTCTAATTTCTTATTGGTGAGATGTTTATAGGTAGATGGGAATGTCTCCTGCTCGCGTCGCTCTGTATGCGCCCTCTGTCAACCAGCCTGGTAGTATGACGGCTATAAAGCTATGGTTGGTTATCTAGATCGATATGCTAAACGTTAAAGATTTCCATTGGTACTCTGGCCGTAATACGATTGGTCAGTTCACCAGTGCATTCTCTTTTAATAACTTCTTAATGTTTCACCGTGGCCTCACCACAGTATCATACATCGTGATTTACTGTAAACGTACCATTTTATATTCAAAGCTACACAGGAACGAAGCTCTTCCTCGTATATAGGCTCCGTGTATACAGGAATACATTGCTATTATTGAGCGAATATTTTTGTATTTTATATTTTAATTGTGATTTTTAATTTTAATATAACATGAAATTATTAACACATAATATGTTAACTTCCAAATCCTTAAAAGGCGTTACTGTGGGTTATCCTTTAGAGATAATTGTAAGTTAATTTTATAAAAAAACCATACTGAAAAGAGTCGATATAATCAATCCAAACATTTTTAGGTTAACTCTTCATAAAATCTCTTAGTTTTAAAAAATTTATTTTTATTTATTATCAATAATTATTGAAAACATGATAAAACTATCAATTACTTTATAGGCCAAAGATGTAAAAATATCAGAAGTAGACTTCAACTCAGAATTCATAATGAGAATTATACCAAAAGTAGACTGGCCAACTTTATGGAAAGCTGCTGAGAGTGTAAGTTTTTTACAAATATCATATTTTATATTAACAGTGTTCATATTTTTAATTAAAAGATCTTTCTTTTAGATTGGACATGTTGGAGAACTGCCTCCAGAATTAGTAGAAGGTTATGATAAAAATATAGATTTCTTAAAAAAAGTACACCATGTGTTATTAGAAGTAGAAGTTATAAATGGAGATCTGCTGTGTCCAGAATCTGGTAGAAAATTTCCCATCAATGATGGAATACCTAATATGCTTTTGAACGAAGATGAAGTATAAAATTAAAAGAACCAAATTATTAAACATTAATAAATGTACAAAATTTTTTTATATTACTATGGACATTGATATTTACTGAACATAACTTTTATAAATTAATATGTTAATTAATAAAAAACATGTAGTATAGAATATTTCTATAGAAGAGAGTATTGCGTGTTGTATCATTAAAATTTAATTTTTGTATTTTTTATTTGTATTTTTGTATTATTTGTATTATGAACTACAAATGTAGATAATATTTCTTATATTGTATTAAGATTATATAAAATCAAAAATAATATTTTAATATAACACGCACGACTGAAACTATTAGTTTAGATTAACCTTTTTGATGCAGATATGTTGTTTGCGAGTACATTTTTGCAGTACGAATACTTGTATCACAAATAAGGTTTTTATATACGGACTAGTTATTACATGAATATAAATTTTGTCGTGTAGTAGATAAAGGATGAAATATTAAAATATAGTTCATTTAAAATATTTAGATTTTACAAATTTTAAACCCATTACTAAATATGTATGAGTAATTATATTCACAGGTACAACACTGCGAGAGTACGATGTTGGGTGACTATAGTCACTGGTAGTATCAAAAGGATTAAATTTACTAGAGATAATAAACAAGTTACATTATTTTATTGCACAGATATGTATAGATACAACGAAATACAATTTTGCTTTATTACTTGCAATACTTAACACACAGACCATCGACATTTTTATTGCTAACTGAAAGCTTCATATTTCTTTATCTATAAATGTTAATTATTTATCAAATGTTTGAAAAATCTATGAGGGAATGTGATACAAACATATTCTTTATTTTGTTTTTTTTCTCATAATAAAAATATATATGCAATTATGTTAAATTTTATGAATTACGAATAATGCGTTGAAATAAAAGATTTCATTAAAATATATAAATACATTTTGATACTTTCATATATATGTATTCTATTGGATCTCTAGTCTATTAAAAATAATATCACATTTATAAACGGAAAAATATATAAATCATTTAACTAGTTATTTATATTATTAACTATATTAAGAAAACGATATTAATATCGATTAATGTTTATCTTCTAGATACATAAAATATGTTCTAAACGATTAATATAAAGATTAATAAAATGTAATGAGAGATACATTTTTTAGTTAAAAAGACCAAATATACTAAAATCTAATTTAAATTACCTTCTATACCAGGTAATCAATTCATGCAATAAAGAAATTCTTTCCAAAAATTCAAATGAAATTTAAGTCTACCCAAATAGGAGATATTTTTTGTTAACCTGATTAGTATACATTCACGTTACATGCTATTTGTCATACATATCGATATACATTTACCAATACCTTATTTATGTAATATAATATCTCAAAAAGTATGGATGTGCTTAACATTAAAATATATGATTTTATTTCTAGAACTGGAGAGCTCATTTGTTCTATTTGCATTAATATCTTCTTCTGCATTCTCGATATTACTTAAAATATAGTCAAAATATATTATTTATCCACCATCATTTTTCAGAAGTTAAGAAGCTATAAAAATAGCTCTCATAACTGAAATCTCAACCACAGCCCATCTATTATTATTGATTCAGAACTCGCAAACATACTAGATTTTTTTTTAAAGGCAGGATTATTGAATGAAGCTATGAAAATACATCTGTCTATTAACTTAATTAAAGTACTTATAAGTTTTATATTCGACGTATTTTTTTTCTTTTTTTTTCATTTCATTTCTTGTTATAAATCATACATGATAATTATGATTTATATCTTACATTGATTAGTTAGAGCTTATATCGCAGATATGCGGAATTATAATTATTATTTTTTATATTAGAGGGAATGTTTGTATCAACAAAATTAATATGTCCATGTGAATATTCACCGAACTATTCATTTTAAATGTATTCTTATATTTAATCTAAATACTTCTTAATACTGAATATTTTGGCTTTCTGTGTGTTTAATTAAATATCTTAGTCTAGTTGGAATTTCTACGTCTGTTGATATCAATTTTAATTAATGCAAAGCTAGTTAAGTTTTTTGTAATTTGAACTGTGTGTTTACACAATATAGTATATACAAGAAATAATTAAAGAAACAAGAATGTTAGATGATATCAACTTTACATAATAAAGATAAATTATTTCATATTTAGGAATAAATATTTTTGAATTATACCATAAATAATTTTGCAAATCATTGTGTAACAATAAAGAATAACGTGAAACAAAATTTTCTGAACACATACACACACACACACACACCATATATATATTTATATTTTTGTATAAAACTAGATTTGTTAGGATATGTTAATGTATAAATAATGTAGTATTCTTGAATCATTAATGTGTATTAGGATAATACACTGTCAAATCCTTCTACTCTCCTAATTATATAAATGTATTGAATGCAAGTAGATATTTGAATTATCTTTGTTTTATGCTTTCGCATATCTGTAATCTAGTCATAGAAATATTGTTAATGTTATTGGCCTCTTTTTGTTATATAAGGACAATATATGTTTCAATTTTGTATTCAATGAAAACAAGACTAAAATATATTTTCCTAACAGAATAGAAATATATAATTATTAACAATAAAATATATTACATCCATCAATAAACATCAATAATTTAAATAATAAGAGAATAAAGTATTAATGAATTAAGAAACTAAGAGTATTGCAAATTTTACTAAAATATTAAGGAAGATATCTAATATTATTCGATCAGTTATATCAGACACATTCAAATTTCTATTAGTATTCTTATCATTATTAATTTAGTGAACATTAGTGTACTATACGATATTATTTTATTAGACGGAGAGGTTAGCTGCATGTGTCTGATAGAAAATAGATATACATATAATCACTAGTTAAAAGATAATATGGACAGAAATATTAACGTTTAGAACTTGTACATTAATAATATTCCAAAAGAAAAGATAAAAGAATCATTATTCTTTTATAATAATTTATGAAGAATAAATTATTTCATGTTAATTTGCAAGTGTAAAAAGATTAAATAAGAAACAGCCACACATATTTCATTTACCACGGCTTTCTGTATTCGTTAAGTTTCTCTGAGAATATATGGAACCTTCTGCTAATCCTCTTAATGGACCTTTTCGTAACTCAGCATTAGGACCTTTAGCAAGACAACTTCCTGATACTAAAGTTGAATCATGTCCCATTACTATTGATTTCGGAAATTGTTCTTTCGATAATAAATTAGGATCTGGTCCTGACCATGGTGCATAGTCTGGTCTGAAATAATTTAAAGTCATTTTTAATAGATAAAATATAAAACATTATATGAAGTGTGTTCCAAAAGTTCCATAATGGTAAAATATCTCAAAAAGAAAGCATTTTTGACAAAAAATGGTTATAGACTACAGTTGCATTTTAGTAATGCATTTTAAAAATCAATCTTTGATTTTAAATGAAAAAGGGTAAGGTTATATCAAGGTCAACAAATATTTTTTCAATAGAACGCTAAATTATCTATGATTTAAAATCGACATCGAGATGTTTTCAAAATACTGGTTGGTGAGCAAGAAGACCCTAACGCAGTATTGTAACTGATGCTAATAGTACTTAATTTCTGAAAACATAACTCAAACAATTCCCATTATAAGAAAAGATCATCAACTAGTGTTTTGGAAACATTTCAGTATCAACTTTTTAATACAGCATGATGAAAAATATGATATTCTGCTTAAGAAAATTATCCTAAACTGCATATAACTTGGACTCCCACCATTCAAGGTCAAACAAGTTTGATAGATCTTTAAAAATAATATAACTTTTGTATAAAACATTTTTTCACAAAACCTTTTTTGTTTAATATTTCATCGTCTAGGTCTTTTAGAACACTCTACGATATACATTAGCAAAAAATTAATTTAAAATATAGTACAAATTAATTTGTACTAAAACTTACAGTAATAAATCATTATTAGCTCCTTTTGATAATTCAGGATTTGGACCATTAGGTTTCAACAAATATGAAGATTTATGCTCATTATCTTCGGTGGTACTAGTTCCACGAGAAACTCTATAATACAAATATTTTAAAAATTATCGTATAATGCTCTTTAATTTTAAATATTTAACTCTTTCGATATAGCTATGTCATTCGCAAGTATGCTTTTGCTATACGGATATTTGCATCGCAAATAAGATGTTACTGCATGGGCCAATTACAATGCGAATATAAATTTTATCGCGAAGTAGATAAAGGATGGAATGTTACAATGTAATGCATCTTAAAATATTAAAATTTTAAAAATTGTAAATCCATGCTCAATATCTATGGATGATTGTATTCCCTGATAGGACACAGCAAAAATATGACGTTAGGCAACCATAGTCACTAATAGTAAACGGAGAGCGTTAAACGATGAGTAATTATAGTCATTGGCAGTATTGAAAGAGATAATAACATAATTAACAATAACTGAAAATCTTTAGTCTAATTATTATAGAAATTATACGTAAATGTCGTACTTTGGTATTTCTATTTTACTTTTCGATCTCTTTGATTTCTCAGAATCAATTTCCTTCACCACTTTTTTAATTGGTGATGCTGTTAGTTTTATAGCTTCTGTTACAGGTGGACTTTCCTTTCGCTCGTCGCTTCGACTGCTGTTAAAATAATGAAAATATAAATTTATATCTGTATGTATGTTCATTAATATATGTTATCGGTAAAGCGTGAAACCATTAATTCATGAAATAATTATATCCACCAGTAAAGTATGAAACAAGGTAAAAATATAAAAGAGGTGAGTAATTATAGTATGAAATTAATATTTGATCCATAGATTACATCCAATAAAATAACACAACTCTCTAATAGAATATTTATTTTCAAAATAAAAAAAGAGATAAGAACGAGTTATTACAAATATTGTTGTAGAAAAAAAGCAGACTTTAAAGATGAATCAAATTTCAATTTCATATTTTATAACTACTCGCCTCTAGTGAATTTATATAGAACCTCGTTATTTTCTAAAACTACAAGTTTCAGCATATAATAAAATTCTTTTTATATACTTTCCCCCTAAAATGCTTAGTTATTTCAAGTAATACCTAATTATCTCCTAAATTAAATAAATTATACACTTTAATTATAACACACGTATATGTAATGAGTCACAGATGTATTCGTATCCGCTCCTATTGTAAATTTTAAATAATTGATATTTACTTGTAATGCAATATTTCAAAATTCCTATATATAGAAACCTATTTTAGGATTGATAAAATTTCAAATTGATATAAATTTTATTGCAGAAAAATATTTTATTGTTAGAGAAATATATATATATAATTTTTTGTAAATGAGAACAAATTGGTCTCGCAAGAGTTTTGTATCTACGTAAGATATAACAAAAATACTATTGTTATTTTTGTAATTAAAACTTGGTTAGCCCTTCTTTGTATTTTACAATACTTTTGAGACGATATTCTGATATTTTGAGACATATTCTGTGAGACGAATTTTTTTATGAATTACAATCAAGCTTTGAATTGCGAGTAACTTATTTTACGAATGTTTTGTAAGACAAGCACAAAATTTTTATTTAATGAACGAGTAATGTCTTGCAATGTTTTGGCAAATACTCCTACGAATACTCCTATGACTGATTGTATTAGTCATTCATATGCGAAATTGATTATCTCCATAAAACAAAAAGTAAGCAAAATTGATAAAGTATGTTTTATCGTATCATTTATTATTGAGCGGTGAAAAACATTATTTCCATTTAGTAATGTTAAACTTAATTATTAAGGAAATTTATTTTTAATATAAAAAATGATCAAGTGCTTTTTGATAATGAAATTTTAAAAAATTCTAAAGCAGAGTATCACTTTAATCTGGGAACCGTTCATATTTAACAAACATATAATATTAATAAGTACAACAAATATGAATTACCTTTGACTACTGGAAGTACAAAGTGGCCTTGTAGCTTCTTCTGCAACCATAATATCTAATATGTGTATTGCTCTTTCTTCATCATAATCTACACTATCCATAGCGAGTACTATTACTCTCTCTGGTACGAATTTATATTTTTCTGTCAAGCGTGCTTTCACTGTGAAAAAATATTTTATAAATACATTAATTATATATTAAAAAAAGAAATATACATATACATATATATATTTAATATACTTTTATTTTTCTCCTCCAAACTTTTCATACGTGGAGGCGGAGTTGGAACAGATCGTTCATTCTGGTTCTACATTAAAACAGTAAATTTATTAGAAATTTACATGAAATATTTCATCATAAAATAAAACTTATTACTTACTTGATCTTTATCTTTTTTTTTATTTAATAATTTATTAGGAGCAGTAAGATTTCGTTTCTCGTAGCCTAGATCAATTAATTTTTCCGAAGCTTTTTGAACATTATTTTCACTCTGTTCTAATATGTCAAGTAACATTGTTTCATCCACTTTAGGAAATACATTTTTCAGGTACCTGTACACAAATTTAAAACATAAATTAAGAGAAGTTTTAAATGTTGACGATATTTCATATATAGATGTGATCTAAAACACAAAAGTGTGTTCAACTTATACTTCAACATATTATATTAATATATAAATAAAGAAAATCTACCTCTAAAGGGCCTTATTGATTTTTCTTTCTTTTGGAATATAAAATTTATTTTGAAAATAAAATAAAGACAATGTGTATTAAAAATACGTTATATGATGTGCATAATTAATTAAGAGATATAACTAATAATACATCTTTTTTCATTAAGCATATTAATAATTAATAAAAATGTCTTTTTTAAATATTTAAATTTGCAAAATGACTAGCTAATTTATTTATTAAATAATAATAGCTAAAGCTATTTAAGCTATATATGATGGCTCTGAGACATAATGTATACATGCATTTATAATAATGCTGTATTAGAACAAATGAAATTTTTAAAAATAACATATACAATTGTTGAGTTATTGTCATTATTACTCTCCCTTTTATGAGTTTGAGGAATTTTTTTACGATACCTTTCCACAAAGGCTGTCTTATCATCTCTCTGGAGTCAACAGCACCCATCGAATTACTAATCGTACACATTGTTTCTTATTTATAGTGATTGTATGGGAACTAGTTTTTCAATGTGATGAGACTATTGAATATTTATAAACTTAAATTGAAACTTTACAGAAGTAATAATTATCAGAATCATTTGTTCTAACACAGATGTTTACAATAACTAACATTTAGACAAAATTTTAAACGTTACTTTGTGCCACTAAATGTTAAAAAAAATGTATATAGATGATAACATAAACTAACCTATCTATGATTTGTGTAATATTTATACTACCCAACGTCTATGGTATTGTAAACCAGGAAGAAACTGAAAAGTAAAACAAATTCCAAATAATGAAATTTTAACTAAAATAAGTAAATCAGAGAGGATACATCATCATTCTGTAAATACCAATATAAAGAGAGACATAATTATTTGAAAATATTATTATCTTTTCAATGCTACTAGATATAAATTGTTCTACCGTGCGTGACACAAAATACTTGTTAAATTTATATAAATGAAAAAATTTACCAGATTCGACATATGCAATTATTCGATAATTGAGGAAGTTCGAAACGTAGTAGTATTTTGTAGCAGGGAAATAATTGGTACATGCTATTGCTATATCGCAATGATCAAATTGTGTACACAAAATGAAATATACCAGACATTTACAAAGAAGCAAAAAAATAGTATTACTTTGTTCCAAATCTGGTATACTTCTTAATAATCATAACAAGATACGATATCAACATCTAGCATCCAGAGTGGGTGAAACTGAAACTATAACTATGGAATAAACCTAAGTTTCATTTTTGGGGAGTTAGGGGCTGGCCGAACCCCACGAGGTGGACTCAATGTTAAAGCCGCATGTATAGCATGAGCTGGTAGCCTCCATCTTGGTATTGCATATTTTGAGTGTACTCCCATAGGTGTACACGGTCCTGGAGCGCAAAGAGGATTCTTTTCCACTTGGAGAGCACTCACAACCAAAGCTGCTCTGTTATGGTATCTGAAAGCATTGGCTAGGAACTTAGCACTAAATTCAATACTGTGCTATAGAAGAAAGAGTGAAGAAAAATAAAATATTTATAAAATAATTTAATGAATTATAATGATGAACTTGATGAATTATAATGAATTATTAGGAATAAATATAAGTGTGATAAGAAAATTAATAAAACAGTAAATATTTGTTAATTTAAATGATACACAAAAAAATTAAAATTTGTTAACCAAAATTAAATTTACAAATCCAATAACAATGCTTACTTTTTTAATAGCAGTCGTATATGAGTATCAGAAACCGTAGGAAACATTGCATTGATTTTAGCAACTTGCAATTCAGAATTAGAATCTTGTGTTAAAGTAGTTTCCATATTTCTGACTGGTGTCGGTGATCCCAAAGTGATTTCACCAAACCGATTTGTCATAACACTCATTGATTTCATAGACATTGGAGTTTTTAAATCCTATATAAAATACATATATATATATCAATCGATTATATGTAAAATTACCAAAATTATTAGATATAGCAATTAACTCGGGGCCTTGATATTATAAATTCATTGCATCAAAATTGCAAATTTTTTTCGTAAAGAAATTTGGTAGTTGCCTGAAAGATGGATCAAAAAGTCATCGAAAATAATGGAGATTATTTCAAAGAATAGCACATGTAAGTAATTACTAAATTTGTTTAAAAGGCATCAAAATTATTGCTACACCTAATAAATATAGTAAGGTATAATTTGATTTAATTTTAAATAAATCAATCTGAACCGATTTAATCAACATTACCTACCTGTAAACTGGGAGGCAAAAATGCAAGTTGAGGATTATGAAAAGGCGATGGTGTTGGATAAATTTGAGGAGCTCTATGAGCTCCCGTATAAACTAAATGACCACCACCTCCAATTCCTCCAGTCTTGAATATACGCAGTACATTTTATATTTAATCCAAATGCAGCATGTGCATATCATTAAAATATACGAACTTTATATAATGCATAAGAGAAGTCCTCTTATGTTATTTATAATTTTATACTAGATAAATAAGATGTTTTCAAATAACTTGATAAATTGTATACAAATACAAAAAATAGTATAAATAGTATACGCAAATGATAAAAGGAAATTTTATCAAATTTTATATCGCAACTTTTTTATCAAACATCAAAATAAACAATGCAATTATCTATTCTATGTTTAACTTCTAAACAATTTAGATAGCTATTTGTTCTAATTTTAACTCTCATTAATTCACCGATAAATAAACACTTTTAAGACTAACAAAATGCAATTGCTTAATTAAGTCGAACTCCAATTGTTAATCTTTAGATTTAAGTTGAAAATAACTGACCTGCATAGGTATATCTTGAGAAGTAATAGTTGTGGCAGAACTCAACGCTACGGAATTTTGTGTCTGTACATATTGAGAGTATTGCCAATATCGAATCCTTGGATCTTCCCATGTTGTTGTTCGGTTAAAATGGTCTATAAAATATCTGAAATAAGCTATTTATTAACATTTAATAAACTATCTAGTTGAATTCTAAAAATGACATATTCTAGTTGAATTAATAAACGAAGGAATAAACAAATAATAATAGTGATCATTTGTACCGTACTAGTGACATTTTTACAGATACAAATATTAAAAAATAATTAAGTTACATTAGTTTGATTTATAATTTACGTACGGTCGGCCACTTCGAGAATCGTATCTACATTCCCAACCAGGTGGTAATTGACTTCTGTCACTTTGTTCCGTCATTTTTACGTATTTGGATGATTTCAACGTAAATAATACGTCGTTGCACTTAACTTGATCTATCCGTATAAAGGAAAGAATTCTAAGTTAGTATAAATCGAATACATATAAATGTACATATATATATATATGCATATACATGTATATATTAAACGTACGACATAGAATTTGATATAGAGAAACCTTCATAGTGACATGCGCACATACGCATTGCGCAGCATAGACCAAATATCAGGCAGCGTGTTTATCAGTCATCTTATTTTAAACACATAGATAACTTTTACTAGTAGTATATACGTGGCACTTTCATATAGAACAAGTGTATAACAGTATGCGTAATCTATTTTTTTTTTTATAAAGTAACCACGAAGCTATAGCTTATACAAAAAATAAGAAAGGGTAAATAGAAAAAGATATATATATATATCTTTTCCCGTGTGATGGGTTGAAAAAATCGAATTTTTTTTTGCATAAATTTTGATTCCTAAACATGTTTAGAATATGTTGGTAAAATGATTTTCCAATATTCGAAGTTGTTGGAAAGTTCTATAACTTTAAAGAAGAGCAGGTGTTCGAAGCACTAAGTTGAGCGGTGGGGTACTGGGCCTATTGTGACGTGTCAGCTTATTACCTGAAAGCTTCCAATACGAATGTACACTTATATATACAAGGATAGAAAAAGATTTAGAAGATCACATGTTTTTTCAAACTTATTTTTAAATTTTAAGGTTAGTTTAATCTTGGCTTGGCACTGTAAAGCGTAACAGCTATGACAAATAAGTTCGAAATCAGAGATCAGTTTATAAGTTGTTAGTTTTCCCAATGAGTAGTAAAAAAGGAAGTAAGGGCGGTAATATTCATCCTGGTCGTAATAAGAAACGAAGGTTTAGTGGAAATCGTTATACAGCTTCTGTTAAGAAACTGAAAGACGGTATGGATATAGTGGTGCCCGGCACTTCAAGTTTTGGCTATTGCATTCTGGAGTTTACATCTGTATTTTCTGCCATCTCTGCAAGCGTCATATGTAAAAAATGTAAAAGTGATGTGTCTTTCACTCAATCAAGTTTACAAAGCTTGGGTTTTAAAATTATCCAATCCTGCAAGTGTGAGAGACAGCAGTTTATAAAATCGTGCCCTATGATTCAGCATGCGTGTGAAATAAATCGTCGTTTTGTTTTTGTAATACGTTTATTAGGAATTGGTCACAAGGGAGTGAATCTTTTTTGCAGTCTCATAGACATATGTGGAGGTATTGGTAATTATGTGCTCTTAGAAAATGTTAGCTGCATCTGTAGTTTTTGATTCAGTGTTGACATTTACTGCCACACAAGAGAAAACTATGAATGAAGAATCCGGAAAGCCATGGGATGAATTGACAGTTTCAGGCTATGGCACTTGGAAGAAAAGAGGCCTTCATCTCTTTTTGGCGTCTTTACGTTGGTTGGAAGATACACCGGAAAAGTTTTAGACGCAATGGTTATGAGCAGTTTTTGCAGTGGATGTAATTTGTGGAAGGACAAAAAAAAATGGAATCAATAGAGTACGAAACATGGTATGGAACTCACCAAAATGAATGTAGCATAAATCATTCTGGAAGCTCCGATAAGATGGAAATAAATGCCATTACGGAAATGTTTTTAAGATCGGTAGATAGAAATGGCGTAAAGTATGTGACGTACATAGGTGATTAAGACAGTAAAACTTACAAAGGAATTGTAGATACTAAACCATATGGAGAAACTTTAGTATCAAGAGAAGAATTGTTAACCTGATGTTTAGGAGCAGAGACGCAAAATAATAATGAATCTCTGAATTCATTGATTTGGACTTTCACTCCAAAACATCTCCACTCGTGCGCCAAAATCGTTGAGTTACGACATTTTTGGCAGTAATTATCTTCATTGAAGGATTTCAATTTTCAAAGTCGTATTTGAATCTTTAAACGCGTTTTTCTCAAAACTGTGTTTTCTTAACTTATCTTCATGATATTTCAAAAACGGTTTGACCGATTGTTTTGAAATGTTAATGATAGATTCGGCACATGTATAGTCGTAGGATGAACTAGAATCATTTGGAAATTCAGAGCGGTTCTATTTTTTTCGAAGCAAAATTATCGAAAAAAATCATGAAATTTAAAAATTAATTTTCAAAAGCTTGTCAATTATTCAATTTTTAATATTTTTTAATAATCCTAGTTCATTCTATCGCCATAGGTTTACAGATTAAAATCCCGTTTGATTTTTTGATTTCAGATAAGTCAATCAGCCGGAATCATGGAGACCTTTTTTTCAAGATGGGTATCTTCGGAGTGGTACAACTCATATTTTTATGGAGATTTATGCCTACCAATTTTTTTACACACTACTGAAATATTAATAAATATATCATAAAAAGTCCAAAATTCTATCTTTTTATTGGCCGTCAAATAAAATTCCTAAAAAATGCTTAAAAAATCGGCCGTCACACGAACGCTTCTAAATATAAAGTTCTAATATAATTTGTAAAAATATCTAAATGTACTGATCAAAATATTGCCCGCTAACGCAAATATAAGTTTGACCCTGCTGTAGTATGCTGTTCATGACATGGCACATTTCTTGTCGATTTCTATTAATTTCTGCAAATATATCTCTAATTTGTTCTATCACAACATCAAGCGTAGCTATCTCAATTACATAAACTTTTTGTTTTAATTTCTTCCATAATAAACAAAAATCTAGTGGGACGATGTCAGGTGATCTAGACGGCCTAGCTATTGTTCAGAGAAAAATACGTTGATTATTCCAAGATAGTAAACAACATATACAGACCAATAACATTATCCTTGATCATAACATTTAGACAGTTTTATAATTTATGTTATAACTTTTTAATAAAGCTTTGAATGATCTATGTTTTTATATAACATATTTTTCTTATTTTTGTGCGTAGAATAAGCTTACATTTGTACAGAAAAACATCTGACATTCTGTATATATACATATGTATAATTTTTTTGTTTATAATCCTATTAAAAAACTTCAAAGGAAAAAAATTGCAATATTGCAGAAGGGAAAACTAATGGTTAAGAAAATTTTTGGAAATTCAAGGTTATCGATGCTTTTTAAATAAATCTATATATATATATATTTGTGATGATATTCTTGCAGAACATGAACAAAACTAATAAAAATGATCTTTATGATCATATCATATCAATCATTTATTTTCGATATACATATATACATATAGAATCTTTCGCCTAACTCGACTACCTAAAATATCTTGTTTATTTTGTACGATAGAAAAAATGTCAAAGAAAAAAAATATTTTGCGAAGGCGCCGATATAATAGCGATGGACCGAATTTTTTCTGAGATATCGAAAATATTTAATGATTTTAATATATGAACAATTATAATATGAAATAAATCACAAAATAAATTTTTTAACTAACGATAAGTCCACTGTCAATTATTAAAACATATATATTATTTTCATTATGTGTATACGTATTAAATTACAAAAAAATTGTTTAATCAACAAGTATACTTCAAAAATTAAATTTTAACATTTTTTTTTTGCGATTATTCATTGTGACAATGAACATGCAACGTACTCTACTAATTACTTCTATCGAATGGGAAAAAATTCACGCAAGATTAGTTTTAAAATGTATCAAATAATTTATTTCTGACTCTACTGGTATTAGAACACATTTTGATTTCATCATAAATTTTTAGTGCATGTGCATGTTCAAATTGTATATTTATAAATAAAATACTTACCTTTTTTTTTATAAAACTGAATGGTTTATGTGTAACAATGATATATTATTTTTGCAATATATATTGAAACAATCTATGTAAATTATGCACTAAATATTTTTTTTGGCGTTACCAACTTAGTTCACTGACATTAGGTAAAACAAAACAATAAAAATTATACATGATACTGTACATGATTACAGGAACAATTTTTAAATAGTACATTTAAGTGAAAGTAAAAAATCATTTACACTACATTAAGCGTTATACGCTATCTCTTATGAAGAAGATCTAGAATAAGCTATATGTATTATACAAATTATAAATATAATTTCCTCGCTTTTGACAGCAAAATGTTTAGAACTACATATATGACTATTATTTACTCTAGGATTTATGTACTACATCATAAAACCTTATAATATCATAACGAGAAATAATCGCAATTCTACAGATGAAAGATGAGGACTTAAAGTTAGAATAAGAGTTTCCCATACAAAACATAGCGATTTTATTCTAGAAATAATGAGATAAATTTGGTTAGTCGTGTTGTGGAAACTTGTATACTGGCCTATGTTCGTGATACGCATTATTGGACACAGTATTTATATACCGTTATAATGCACACGTATATTTAATAGTATTAACAAGTATTGTAATGCTCATTATAACGCCAATGAGCCCATAACGTGATTTTCTGACAAAATCATTGTATTTGAAACATCAAGCGGCGATGTAGCAGTCGTGAAAGAACTGAGCAAACATCGATATGCCCAAAAAATGCTACTACCACTGTAGCCAATAACGCACATTTGTCATAAATAACGCCGATGCTGCTATCGCCGCCAGCTTCGTGGTTCTCCATCTTCCTCCTCTTCTTCTTCATTTTCTTCCAGAAATAATGTTTCTGCTGTTCCCTGTGAATACGTACACTGACATTAATTTCTAATACAATTAGTTTAAGTCACTCCGTTTATCATAATCAAATTTCATTATCATATTCATGATATTAATTTTGATAATTACACTTGGAAACAAACGATAAGAATTTATCTCAAATTTTTTCTAAATGAGCCTTTTTTAAACACATTTGCATCAGAAGAAAGAATGAAATCATCAAATATTACATCACACTCAATTCTCTAGTAATAAATAACAACAAAATTGAATATATATATTGAATGTATGCTAATGATGTAAATGGGTTAAAACTTTCTTTTAACCGAAGTGTAACGTTTTATCTTTTAAATAAACGCATGGGTAAGAATTTATAGAAAATATATAATTAAATCTTGCCTTGAAGTATACAAACGGTACTTGATAAATTACTTAAAGTAGATTTTATGTTTTTTTTAAAAATAGTTGTTTATAAGAAAGATAGCATAAATATGTAATGTTGTATTAAGTGTATAATTTGATAAATATACTATTAATTGTAGAAATGTCATAATTATGTAAATATTTTATCCCACTGATATTTGTAAACAAGTTTATCTAAAATTGAGGTTCTTAAATAATAAAGTGAAGTTGCGTGTGTTTTAATAGTTGAGTTTTTATTCTCTTTATCATAAGGATTTAAAATAGTGATTCTCAATCATTGTGCTGCGAAACGTTTCCAAAAGTGTTCCGCCAAATTTTATAAAATGAATGTAATTAAATTAGCTACTAATAAGCAATAAAAAAAACAACATTTTAACATCCTATTTGTGCGAATTTGGATTTTCTGCATTAACTAATATATAAAATCTTAAAAAAGATCAAGATGTGGGGGAAAATGTTGAGCATGACATGAGAGTTGCTTTACTCTTTTATTAATCTTATTTAATAAAGCTCTATATATATTAATTAAAAAAATTTAAATTATTAATCTGTAGTTATCACTGGCCTTACTTGCAATATTTCAAACTTAAAAATATTTAAGTTTTCGACGAGAAAAAAAGATTGAGGAACACTGGTTTATAGCATGCGTTGTGTGTGTGTGTGTATTATGGCGTATGCCGATAAGAGGCAAGGGAACGTTTCTAGTTAAACGATCATGATCACATCAGGTCCACTCAAGTATAAGGGGTAGTTTTTCCCTTTATCAAACAAACTTATTGTAAGATCAAGTATGGATACAGATCGAACGTTCTCGAAATATGCGCAAGAGTGGGAAGAACAATATGTATAAAAAAAAAGAGGCCCAAGAAAAAAACACAAGTTTCGAAAATCTCTTTTCTCATAAAAAGCGGTCGTCTCAAAGCTTCGATTGTTTGTAATAATTCAATTCAATAATGAACAATAACTTGTATTCTCTGTTTAATCTCTTAGCTGAGCAATGACGAGCATATTGGTCATGTAAGAAAACTCTTTGTTATTTAAATTAAATTTTATGTATAAACTAAATACTATTTGTAAATTTGTAATATATTTTGTAATATTTTTTAATATTTTATATTTATATTTATTTTAAGAGATGAAAAAAATTGTACACATTGTGATCCATAAATAATTTATAAATTTTTGACTATACTTCTTCATTTGTTTTTTAATTTTATATCTTTGTTTCAAGGTATTTATTCCACTATTGATAAACCAAAACTCTTTCCAAATAAAAAGATTAAAATGTTGCTTATAATCAGGATCGTGCGCGAGTATTGTGAGTTTTTTCGTCTGTGATAAAGAATGATCACTCAAGTTTTTCTTTTCTAATAAGCTTAAGGGATCGGTTGTTTTCTTTCTATTATGCTTGTTGCTTATAAATTGATAATAATCTTTTAAAAAACCAAGTGCTATTTCTTTATAATTTAATTCAATTATACAACTGTGCTTGACAAGTATACTCTTAAGGACTTTTAAATATTATCAGTCGGTTATGCTTATAAAAAATTACAAGTCCCAAAATGATTATAATAAACTTTCACTGTATTATCTCAGTAAATATTTTTTTATAGCTTAATCATTAAAAAATTAAAAAATCATCTATACATACTTCTAAATCGATTTCTTCTTCAGTATTAGGTGGTGCTTGCTCAGAATGTACTGAAAGTTGTACGGAAGAATTCAGATTATTTCCACTTCCACCACGATGTAAATGGTGTCCGGATACCCAGGTTATAGATAATAATCTATCTTGAAACGTACGGCCTTTTAACATTGCAACTTCAGCTTCTTTCCTGGACTTATAATTGATTACGATAGATGGTGTTGTATCATCTATAATTTGGTTCACTATTTCTCCAAATTGCTAAAAAAAGGAAAATATAACGATAACAATGTTATAACTAGTAAACATCTATTTTATTGATAACTATATTAATAAGCTTACTTGAAAATGTGCTAGAACATCTGATTTTTCCTCCGTTTCGTAGCCTGAGACTAGAAGACTTGTTGGTCTATGATCTACAGAAACGTGAGCAAAACTTCCTCTTCCTCGTCCCCTGTATGAAACTGCGTGAGTTCCTCGTATAATTCTACTTGACCTCGCACCTCTACCTACTCCTGCACTCGTATGTAGACCTAATGCAGCAGCTTGTACTCGTAATTCATTTAATCTCTTCTGCAATTCTCCTGCGTCATGGCCTTCCTGCTGAGCAGTCATTAAATCTAGCTCAGCATCTAAAATCTCTTTTTGAGTTTGCTCTTTGGACTTTATTTGTGACTTATTTCCACAAATTTGTCCATTTGCAGCTAAATCTTTACGTAAATTATCAATAGATTGTTGCATAGTTTTAATTGTCGCCATTATTGCATCTTTTTGTTCTGGATTCTTTTCTGCTTTATCTATTAAAACTCGTATTTCTACGAGATGTTTGTCTAGAAGTTCTTGTTTCCTTTTCCTTAAATCAGCAGTTATTTTTATTGCTTCTTTACGTTTTTCTTCTTGTTTTTTCTTTAATGTTTCTTTAGCCGCCAATATCTCCTGTGTCTTTTTTATTGCTAAAACTTTTTCTTCTCGTGTAGGAACTGCTGTCGCTTTTGGTGATGTTGGGACTACGTTTTGCGTATTTTGTTCATCCGAAGAACGACGTGTCGGTACATACTCATTTTCCTCCGTTTTTGCTGGTAAATTTAGAGCAGCGCCTAATCTTTCTTTTACGGAAGGACGGCAACCTTGTAAAATACAGTAATATTTTAATAAAAATTGGACACTGACAATAATATGTTTAATTTGATTTGATTTGATTACTATTATTATCATTAATATTATTAATTTATAAATTGTTGTATGCAAAAATTAACTAATGTTTCAATTATGAATTTCATTAAATATACAATAAATGTAATCTTCAAATTACCGGGTGGTACGTTTTCTATAGCTCCGCTAACTGAATTGTTATTAATATTATGCCAAAAGACTTTTATAAATCTATTATTCAATACAGCTTCAGTACTTCTGTATGCAGCTTTAGCTTCTGTAGGTAATTGGAAAGTAACTAAAGCTGCTTCTGGATCACCTCCAAAATTAACTTGAATATTTACAATTTTTCCAAATTTGGAAAAGTGATTATTCAATTGTGTTATATTGTTTAAACTTCGCGGAACTTTCTTTAATTCTAAAGAACAGTTAGCTGGATTATGTACTGCTCTTTGTTTTGGTCCAAGACGATTAAAATCAAATGCTTGTTTTCGTTTCAATGGATTTGCTTGACTATGTGTTATTTCTGTTGAGTTTGTGTGAGGAATTACTGGTACACTAATCAATTCCCTTTGACCTCTTCCGTAAAGTCCAGATCCAGTCTGTGGATGCCTACCCCATGGCATTCTTGGTTCCATGCTAGGAGCATCCGGATTGTATTCTGCAAATGCATCTAACATATTTTCGTTATTCTTATTATATCTCGTAAAAGATTGTTGTCATATTTATTCAATACAATATAATATTGTAAATGTTTTAGTTATACAAAGTTTATAACAAACAATATTATATTTCTATTCTAACGCTCTAAACAATGTCTTCATAAAAAAAATTTATATATAAATCATATAAATTATATTCAATGAAATAATATTGATCTCTTTGATCAATTGAAAATAATTTTTAATTTTTCATTTAGATAAAATATGAAACTTTAATTATTGCGAATAAAATAATTATACAGATATACTTCATACCCATATTAGAATGATGTTGATTTCGCAAATGTGGTGGTGGTAGGCTTGCGAGTGGAAGGTGTGGTGGTGGTGCATTTCCATTGGGACCTGGAGGTGGATCAGGTACTGCTGTTACTGGTACTGTACCCGGAGCTTGATGACCATGTGGTCCAAAAGTCAAAACACGACTTAGAGCAACATCCTCCAATACAACAGGATCAGTACCATGATCATAAGGACAAAGATCCCCTCTCATACAATAGCCTTTCTCTACAAAAAGATATTTAGTATTCAA